GGACTCCTAGCACTCAGGAGGCAGAAGCAGGAGGAATCTCTGTGAGTTTGAAACCAGCCTGATCTACATATGGTGTTTCAAGCCAGACATTAAGGCAAGACTACATAGACACACACCACCACCACCACCACCAACAACAACAACAACAACAAAAAGGAGAGAATCATTTGGAGCTGGAGTGATAGTCCATCAGTTAAGAGCACTGGCTTCTTTTGCAGAGGACCTAGGTTCAATTCCCACCACCCACAACAGGTAGTTCCTAATCACCCATAAATCCTTTTCTGGCCTCTCTAGGCACCAGCTTACACATGCTGTACATACATATACTCAGGTACACACACACACACACACACACACACACACACACACACACACACGTGTAATTTGTACAGCAACAACAAAAGAAGAGAGAGAAAAAAAATAAAGAAAGAGAGAGAGATTGCCCATGTCTGGTGGCACACACCTTTGAAAGGGGGAACAGGCAGATCTCTGTGAGTTTGATATCAGCCTGGCCTACATAGTGTGTTCCAGGACCACCAGGGATACAATGTCTTCAAAAACTTAAATTGTGGGAGCACACACATTTACCGTTATAGTCATTTAAAATTAACCAGTCAGTGATATAAAGCAATTCTCACTGCTGCATCGCCGTTTACCATCACTCATCTTCAGAACTCACCTTGTGAAATTAAAATTCTGGACCCGTTAGGCAATAACACCCTATATCCATCAGCTCTCTGTCACTGTAACCTTCTCACTAACTTTAAAAGGAGAAATTTACCATGGCTCACTATATCTCAGGTTTAGACCAGCTGGCTCCTCTGTTTTGGGCCTGTGGTGAGGGCAGAACATCATGGTAGGAGCACTTGGTCAGGCAAAGGTGCTCACCCATGACAGCTAGGAAACAAAGTGAGAGAAGAGGGCTGGGTCCCAAAATCTACCTCAAGCACACTCTCAAAAACCTAATTGCTTGCAAGTGGGCCACACCTCTTAAAGACCACACCCTTTTTTCCATAGTAATACAGGCTGCTGCCAAGCTTTCCCCAGATTTTTCTTTTTGGAGTGGAGGAGGACATTTAATTTCCAGCCATAACATACCCCAGCCCCCACTTCTCCAAGTTTCTCTCTGCCATTCTGCTTTTCCCTACATGAGTTTGACCCACCTTGGTAGCTCATGTAATTGGAGTCCTGCAGTCTTTGTCTTTTGGGGCCCAGCTTCTTTCACTTAGCATGATATGCTAATGGAGATAAGCTTAGGTCCACGCTAAGCATATGTCAGATTCTCCTTTTTAAGGCTGTGTACTATTCCATTATGCATCTCTCTTGAGTATTCATCTATGTCACAGTTTGTTCTTTATTCTTCTACCCATGGGCACTTGGATTGAAAACTGGCACCAAGAAGTGGGAAGTGTTGCTGTTGGACCCTATGTTTTAAATTGGTTTTGTGAGAAGAACTTGGAAGAGTTTGGACCTGTGATCTAGAGAAGCTCTAAAATGCTGTAAACAGAGCTTACTGGGTTGTTCTGGTGGGGGTCTGGGAACCCAGCACCCTAACAGAAATATGAACAGTGGAGGCCTGGTTTGTGAGGTTTCAGTGGAGCACAAGGACACTCTGAAGGCCTGGGCTATATAGGCTGTTCATGTTACATTTTGTCCAAACCCTGGGAACTTGAGTGAGGCTAAATTCATAAGCAATGAGCTAATTTCTTTGGCAGCAGAATTTTGGAGACAGCATAGCATTTTGGCTATGGCCTGGTTATTGCTGGGTTACAGATTGTGTCCAGGAGTGCTGTGGGCCTTTCCACCTCAACTGATCTGGATTTAAGATGGATCTTCCTAGATAAATGATCCAATTAACTCAAAATCCCTCACAGTTGTGTTCAGAGACAGGTTTTTAGTTCATTCCAGATGTAGTCAAGTTGACAGCCAAGAATAGCCAACCAACCCAGCTGCCTATGCCCATTGGTAGCCATTTGGTGACACATAAGTCCCAGATGCCAGATATGGGTCTGCAAAGTTTGGTGTTTGCTTTTCTGAGTTCTAGTCTTGCTTTATCTTATCTTTCTTTACTGTCATCCGGTTCTCCTCTTTGGGAATGGATATGTTTATCCTATGCCAATGAAAATTAGAAATATATAACTCAAAAAACAAAGCTGGGGCTGGAGAGATGGCTCAGAGGTTAAGAGCACTGGCTGCTCTTCTAGAGGTCATGAGTTCAATTCCCAGCAACCACCTGGTGGCTCACAACCATCCGTAATAAGATCTGGTGACCTCATCTGGTGCACAGGCATACATGGAGGCAGAATGTTGTATACATAATAAATAAATAAAATCTTTAAAAACAAAACAAACAACAACAACACAACAAAAGCCAGGAGCTCACAATGAAGGGATTGCTCGAGTCTTAGAAGAGACTTTGAACATTATTGGGACTGTTAAAGACTGCAAGGACATCTGGAGCTGGAGTGAATGTGTTATTTTTGTGAGATGGACAAGAGCCTTTGGAACCAAGCATGGAGTATTCTAAGTTTAAAGGGGTAAGTTTAAAATGCTGGATACTAAGAAAATTCCTGCTTTCAGTAATTTGTGCAGTTTTATATTTTAGATGGGATCGCTGGCTGTGTTGTGATTTGTATTTAGCAGGTGGAGACCAGGTCATTCTGAACAGGCATGGGAGTGGAGGCTTCCTCCTTGCATCCATTCTCCAGAAATGTGTTCAGCTGAGGGCTGCAGAGGAGAGCCCAGGGGTGAGGTCTGAGCGGTCCTGGGTGCTTAGGTAGAGCCTCTCTGTCCTTTGAAGGCGCCAAGCTCGCGTGACCAGCCAATGGGCCAGAGAGGTGAACCCGAGGTACTCAGTGCTCAAGGCAGGCGCAAACTGTTCTCCGTGTGCGGGGTAGCCGTAGAGTTGGCGCGCAGGCGACACACGGAGTCACCCCTTCTGCATCCAGACACTTTAGCAGGCTCAACTCCAGTCCACTCAGGGGCTCATCTTGGAGCTGAGGGGTCTTCAGAGTAGTGGGTAGAGAGTGAGTGGTGGGGACAGCGGGAGTGGGAGGGAGATCCTGACTATGGGCAGGAACATCGACTGGAGGCGGAGTCAGCGCGCTGTGGGCAGGGCTGGCTTCAGCCGCTGCTCTGTGCCTCCACCGAGGTAGCAGGAACTCAGCTGCCACCGGAGCCTGGAAAGACCCCCCGCCCCCAGAAGACAGAGGGGCTCCTTTCTCTTGCTGCAGAGCTCCCGAGGAGCGTCTCGTCTTCGCCCTGGTTCACAGGTACTGACAGCCCCAAAGACAATCAGAGAACCACACATGGGGAGTGGACGGAGCCCAGACTAGACTGCCCCCAATCACAGCCTCAGGTGAAGCAGCAGAGGGTCCCTCAGGGCCGAAGCCGCAGCAGCAGAGGACATTGGGTAGTGGGCTTCTCCATAGAGCCGAGGACAGTTCCAGGAAAGACTGTGGGACAAGTCCTCCAACCGTCTATTTCCCCCCATAGGCAATTCTGGACCCTTTCTTTAAATCCCCAGTTGGAGCAGTGCTGGCCGCATTCTTAAGGGGTACCCTTTGGAAGGGATATATGCCTGGGCTCCCGGCAGGGTCCACTGGTCTCTCAGCCCTGGGTTCTGCCTCTTATATGATAGGAGCAGAGCTGGGAATTAAGCTGGCCAGGAGAGAAGGGCAAAAGTCACTGATGAGCTGTGAGATGGAGCAGGTGGGATGAGCTTCCTCCAGTGTGGAGGGACTTCAGCCTTGTCCTCTCACTCCTGGACAGCAGGATTCCTAGGGTGGGGGGGGGAGCTCGTCTTGGGAGCAACTTACTTTCTCCGTTTTCCAGGATCTCAGGTTTGGCTATCTTCTTCCCTTCTGACATTTAGGGTGCTTTCCAGACCACAATCCTCTCCCATATCCAGTTCCCTAGACTGATATCTTTATGTCTTGGGAGGGGTCTAAGGGAAAAGTCAAGGGGAGATAAAAGATTCACTGCTGACAGACCCTCTCTCCCAGCCCTGCTCTGTGGTATGCTGGATTCTGATCCAGGGTCCCCTCCCTTCCTTGGAGCTGGCCTAGAGGCCTGAGTACTGACTGGTGTGGTTCTGGGATGTAACACTGCCTCTCCAACAGCTCCGAGCTTTACAGACAGTATTGATCTGCCTGGAGGATGTTAAAACCCAGTGTGTTTAAGCTATTAACTGGAGGACACACCACTCACCCAGGGATTTTGCCCTCGGGTCTCCTTTCTAACCCTCTAGGTTAAGTGACAGCCTGTGACTGTGTCCCTGTGACCACTGCCTTGGACAAGCCTTGGCACATAATGTGCCAGTCTTAGAGAGTCACAGCAGATTTTGACATGGGTACAGGAACCTTGGTGAGGAGAAGCAGCTGCTGGGGGGCTCTGTGGAGTTCTCTGTAGAGGGTTCCGGGTTCAGGGCTCTGTGACTTTGCAGTTGTGTTTTGCTGGACCCCATGATGTGTCATTTCTTCCCAGATGTGGGAAGCAGCTATTGTTCCTGAAGAATGGGACTGCTCCACAAGGATAGCGTTCAGGCTGTCAGGCAGGGATTGGGGTTTGGAACAGGCCTCCTCTCTGTTCCACCTTCCCACATTCACAGCTTTGGCCTTTGAGGAAGAGCACCGTTTTTCAGTCTCCATTGGAGGGGAAATGGGTGGTGTTAGAGTCTGTCTCCCCAGTCCCCTAGCCTTCCTCGGCTGAGTGGAAATGTGGTTTCGCCCATCCCTTTCTTCCTCTCCATTATCTGTGTGTATGGTGAGCAGGTGGCTAATGGATATGCTCAGGGTTTCACGATGATTTTAAACTCACCCAGGTTCACTCCATCATGTAGCCAACCATGTGAATGTCTTTCAAAGGTTTAAAATGGAACTTAGATACCGTGACCCTCGGATGCTGGTTGGGAAGATCTGATTCACCAAGGAAGAGCCAAGAGCCTTGGAGGCGCTGCTCCAGAACAGCTCCCAGTGGTGTTCATGCCACCACCTGCCTGGATGGAGCCCACCGTGGGGGCTCTGGGTGAGAACACCACAGACACGTCCACCAGCTTCCTTTCTTTAGTTAATGCCCGAGGAGCCCAAGCTGCTTCCTTTCCGTTCACTCTCAGCTATGGTGACTATGACACAGCCTTGGGCGAAGAGGAGGATGTGACCAAGTCTTGGACTTTCTTTGCTGCCAGGATTGTGATTGGCATGGCTCTGGTGGCTATCATGCTGGTGTGTGGCGTCGGCAATTTCATTTTTATCACCACCCTGGCCCGCTACAAAAAGCTTCGAAATCTCACGAACCTGCTTATTGCCAACCTGGCTATCTCGGACTTCCTGGTGGCCATTGTGTGCTGCCCCTTTGAGATGGACTACTACGTGGTTCGCCAGCTCTCTTGGGAGCATGGCCATGTCCTGTGTGCCTCTGTCAACTACCTGCGCACTGTCTCTCTCTATGTCTCCACTAATGCCCTACTGGCCATTGCCATTGACAGGTGAGTGCCACAAAGATGGACACAGAGAAAGGGTGTTGGCTTTGTCCCTTTCTCCTGTAGTTGCATGTTGATGGGACCATGGGGACTCAAAAGCCCACTGGCCGAACACCTAGCCTTAGTCAGTGCGGGAGGCAGCTAGTAGGAAAATCTTTGATCATTATCTGTGGATGTTCTCCTAGATATGCCTGATCACAGCTTAGACGGGTAGGAGGAAGCATCCAGGGGGCGGGGCTAAGTTATAAGGAGTTACTTCTTGGATAAACATGAAAATCTGGAAGGAATTCCCTATCTCATCCAGTTTTCCTCTATTAAACTATGATATCTTAGCACTAACTGGTTTTTAAAATAAGATTGAGGGAGGTGTTTTGAATAAAAAATGTGTGTGTGGGGGGGGGACAGAAAGAGCATGTGGTTGCTTACTTTTGTTAGTGTTGTCTTAATCCCATTTTACTTGACTCTCATCATGCTACAGTACAAGACCTTCTCTAGCGATGAAGAGTGAGGTCAGAGAGAGCAACTTCTGCATGTCTTTCTTATCCTTTGATATTTCACTTGGTATAAACTTGTGCTGATGAGCCAGGATCACCATGACTTCAGGGAGTCTTTGGAAGCTTCTTCGTGCATTTGACTCTTAAGCACGAAGCACCTTGTTATGGTCTATGGACAGCTACCCCGAGGGGCTAATCAGACTTCCATGTACCTTGACACAGCTTGTGGTCCTCTTCATCCAGAAAGTCTAAAGCACGGGCTCTCCTTGTTCCACGGCCTCAGGGCTCTGGGGTGTTTGACCTGGGCTCAAAATCAGAGCAATAGAGCAGGTTTGCTGGCAGTACAACTGGGGGTAGGATGGCCTGTGGAAAAAGATGAATTTCTAAGGAAAGGGATAGCAAAAAGTCTGGCCCTGAGACCACTGAGGGGCAGAGCCCATCCCTCTTTCCCCAGAGAAGGATGTCAGAGAGTCAGCAGCTGATGGGTCCTTGGTCTGTCACCCATAACAGGCATGTTGAGGTCCTCAATATAAGTCACCAACCTTGGGGCATTTGCCCCACTTACATAATCAAAGAATCCAAATAACCCTAGCAGAGGGTAGTGTCAGCTAAGGTATCTGTTTCCCAAGTGACTTTCAGGGATGCCCAGGGCAGGCTCCTGCAATTTTGTCTCTGGCATTCCCTGAAAATGGAAATGCTGCCTTGTCTCTTACACAGGAACAGGACAAAACATATGGGGTTATTTCCTGGGCTTTCATATTAGTGACACAGCTTTGCCTAGGAGATGCTCTTGGCCACTAGAAGTAGGATAGATTGGAGCCTGCCATGACAAAGTCCTGGTTCTGTATGAGATCCATTCACCACTGAGGAGGCAAAGAAGCCAGGATAAACCAAGGAGTACTGAAATACTATTAACAGGGATGTTGATCAGCTATGATGCAGGACCAATATCCTCACTACAGCTCAAGTGCATATCCCATTTTCATGCCAAACAGCTGCTTTGAAAAATGGTATACATCTCACAGTGCACACTAAGAAAAATAATCAGGTAATGCTCTGCTCTGGGGAGAGCTGTTGGTGCTCTGAGTGGGCTTCTGATTGGAAATTTGCACACAGATGTGGGAGAAAGCCCCAGGAGCTGGCTAGGCCTTCCTCAGTCTTAGGTGACTCACTGCCCCAGCACATTAAGTTTTTGTTGTTTAAGTTGACATTTGTAATCTTTGCCCCAGATGGTTTTTATTTTACTGTGTTGCTGTCATCTAATTTCAGTTTTGTGGCTCAGTAGTCATTAATTTTTTTCTTGTGAGCTGTTCAAAACACAGTGATTTTCAAAACACAGGTTTGATTTTCTTAGCTTGGGGAAATTACATCTTAACCTCTGTCTAACTAACAGACACCTTGCCATTAGAATGTCTTTATTCTGTTTAATGGAATTTCTGCAGGAATAGTTAGTGTGTACTTGGTTTGAGTCTGTTGGTGCACTCCACTCACTGTGGGGCTTTCCCCTGATTATCGGTTATGTGCCCTCTTCCTGCCTCAGACTTTGAGGACAGTCAGAAAATCTAACGTACTCGGTTGCTTTGAAGATGGAATGCAATCACATCTACAACAGAAATCGTATCTTTTTATGTCTTGGTATTTTGAGACTGGGTCTCACTGTAAAGCTCAGGATGGCTTTGAACTAACTCATAATCCTTCAGCCTCATGCATCAGAATGCTTGGATTATAGGTGTGTGCTGCCATGCTTGCACAGAATAGTGTGAAGTCAGAACAAGCATCCAATAAGAAGTGGATATCGTGGCTCTTAAGTTAATATTAAAAAGACCACAAGTGACAACAAGACTGAATAAACTAGAGTGTCTCCAGTGGGCTAAGTGTTGTTTTTATAATGTTTAAATCACATAGTTAAAGAGCTGGGCTATGAAGCATGATCTCACAGAATAGTTTATCTTCTACCAGTATGGATTCAGTGTTTCTGTTCTTGCTTTCACTGTCTTCCTAGGCATCAGGGCTGGAAAGTTTCTCTCATCCCGGCCAGTCTCTCTGTTTTTAGAGCATTTCATCAGTTGTCCTGGTCACACTTGTTCCTGCACACACTCACTTGGCTGGATGGTCCTAGCCTCCTCTACTTTTAATCTTCTGTTTATAGTGTCTCTTGGTTCTTCCCAGCTGCCCCTGTCAGATCCATCCTAGCTTTTATTCACTCAAGCATACATGCATTCTTTCAAGGAGAGTGTCTATGCAGAATGACTACTCAGTGTCGGGTACTATTCCAAAGGCTGGGGATGTAGTGGTAAACAGAACAGAGCATCTAGTCCCTGACGAAGCTATACCAAGGGACGAAGAGAAAGAACTCTGTGAGGCAAAGAACTATGCAAGGTGATTTCAGAAATGAAAAATACAAACGACAACGACAAAACCAAAGAAACACACCAGCAGAAACACCAAGAATGACTGAGTAAGAGAGATAGCTTAAAAAGTCAGGAGAGGTGTCTCTGAGAAGATATTCAGATGACTCAGGAGTGACTTGGAAGGGTTCATTTTTGTGAGGACTGAGAGAAAGTGTCTAGGATAAAAGGGCTTGTAAGCATGAAAGCCCCCAGGCAGGATCAGACTTGATGGATTCCAGGAACAGAGAGAAGACTTTTCGACTTAAGGGAGGTAAGCCAGGCTGTAGGCGCTGAACCTTCTTGAACATAACTTTGGTATCTTGCTGAAATAACTGATACATATTCCAAACCTTGCAAGCTGAGGACTGAAGTGAAGTATCCTATCAAAAGCAGCACACATAACTTTCTGCAGGGTTCAGCCCCAACTCTCTCACTGCATTTCCAGCATTTTATTGCTTAGTCCCATTCTGTATTGCAGACTCAGGCTAAGTGAACACATCTTTGTCCCCTTTCCCAAAAATGATTGTGGTCCTTTTGACAATTCAAGTTTTTGTTCACCCAGTACCAAACCATTGACAGGGTAATGTTTTCTTAAAGTTATTAAAACTAGGTGCCCTAAATTCACAGATGGCAAGAGTGAGAAAAGGTGTAGACAGGGAACTAATACTGGCAAAACGGTTAAATAATAAGCCAGGGTTATGTTTACAATGAAGCTTGAAGAAGGGCAGGGTGCAGTGGTGCAGAGGAGACTTTAATGTGGTCATCAACAAATGATCAACAAAAGGTCTTCTAGGAGGCCAGGGCAGTGTTTGAGGAAGCCAGGAGGTGGGATCCTTCCAGTGACTGCAGAGCCGTGGGGAAGCATGTGAACCAGGGACCGAGTCTTCAGAATACTGATCAAAAAGGATGGGGTCATATTTCAGAAGATATAAAAATCCACCAGACGATGACAACCTGAAGGAGTTGGCAAGATCCTGCAAGAAGTCCCCACCCCCACCCCAGCCCCTGGGCAGGGCCCCTGGGCCTCCTCTTTGATGTGGAAACAGTCGCACTGTCTTGAGGTATCTGTAACATTCTGGTCTGCTGCTTATGAAATGTTAGGAGACTCCTCTTCCTCTGGCCTGGAGTGCCAAGGAAACCAGCCAGGTTGTGTGTCTACTGGTGTTGAGTCATGTTGTCCAGGCTCTGAAAGCACAGATGTCCCTGACAAGCTCATCAGTTGGGGTCCGTTATCCATGCCACCAGCGCCTGATAGCATCTACAGCATTCTCATGCCAGACCTTAGATGGTGACAGGCTTGGAGTCCCAAACTCTGCTGAAACACCACGGTTTTCATACCACCACTGCGCTCTGGCAGCCTATATTTGCCATTCTCTGGCATCTGTTGGCTTTGAGTGGATCTGAACCTAAACTACTTTAGCTAAGGACACAAAGCAAGTGAAGCCATGCTCATAGAGAGAGAAATGTTGCTGCCAATGGTCTGATTGCCTCAAGGAATGGTGTAGGTAGAACACAAGTCTGTGGTAGAGAGAAAAGAATTGGCTGCTAAGGTTTGGTGGAGGTCAGGGAGAAGGGGGCATGCCCCAACCTGCTGGGAAGGGAGACAGCAAATGGAGTATCAGAGAGAACACAGGGTTTGTGGAAAGACGTGGGTCAATGGGTTTTTGACAAGTCATTCCACTTCTCCGTGCTTCAGCTGGTCTCTCCAGCAAATGGACATCTTTGCTCCCTTACTCCTTCGGTAGGGTTGAGATTACCTAAATGAAAGTATGGGCTTGCTATCGTAAACTTAGTACTAACATAGAGTTGCAGAGCCAAAGCTGATGGAAATCTCAGCAACAGTTTTTTGAGCTTTTTTCATGTATCAGTTATGGTAGTAGTCTTAACTGGGTGGGGTCATTGATTGGGTGAGGATTGACTGTATAAAATGACTAACACAATTGGAGCACTGGCATTCATCACTCTACCGGTTGTGGATGTGATGTGACCAGCTGCTTTAAGCTCTTGCCATGGCTTCCCTGCCATGATGGACTGTAGTCTCAACCTGGGAGGCAAAATAAGCCCTTCCAGTCTTAAGATGTTTTTGTCTGAGTATTTTAATCACAACTCAGTAACTAAGAGATGGTGTGTGTGTGTGTGTGTGTGTGTGTGTGTGTGTGTGTTGATGTGAACCCAGAGCTTCTGCATGCTGGACAAGTTCTCTACCACTGAGCCACACCCCAACCAGCATGATGGCTGCTATGAAGGTCCCATGAATGCACAATGCCAACAATGCACATGGTCCTGTTCCAGTTTTCCAACTCTAAGGAGTTGCCTGGCGTCCCAGGGATGTATGCTACTGGCCATCTGGGGAGTTCAAGAGGGTAGCACCCTATCCAGCTCTTAAGACTCCTGGGAGATGGAAGAGCTCAGGGGTCTCACTCCAGTGATCCTCTTGGCTCGCCCTTCATGGGATGACACCTGTGAAATTCTATCAGGAAAACACAAGAAGGGATCTCTCTTCAGATCAAAGTTCCAAGAAAGATGATCTCAAGGGGGTTGTCTACAAAGGGAACAGAATCGGCCCGGCTCTTCTTCAGGGTCCTGTCACATTGCCATCGACTGCCTGGGATCAGCTATGTGGACACTAAAGAGTTTGTTCCCAGTGTTGGTCAGTCCTCTACTCCTCTCCCATCTTTCTTCCAACTGTGCCAGCTGTGCAAAGTCTTCCGGGAAGCCGGAGCTCTCTGCACAAGTGTGCACTCTGGGAAGGGTGCCATCATGCCCCCCGGGTGACTCACAGCCTCATAAAGTGCTCTCTGCTTCCTGGACCACTGTGGTAACAGTGTAGGCTCTTTGGGAGAGAACAAAAGCAACATCTTTTACTGCCCGGTGCTTTGTGGTTAAAAAAAAAAGTCACGTGTACGCTAATTGATTTTTACATCAGCCCCATGAGAGGGGGTCTAAATGTTTTCTGTCAGGGGTCTTGTTTCATATGACCTTGAGAAAGTTCCTCATCTTTCAACAGCCTGTATCTTTCCATGTGGAAAATGAGACAAACACACTTCTCTCTCTTCGTGCAGAACAATACTTTTTAAAACCTGGAATGAAAACAAAACCTTGGCCCATGCTTTGGTTGGAAAGGGTAATTTTCCCATCAACTAATTCAAGTTGGAGCTGTCAGGCCTACTTAACTTTGAACCTTGCAGGCCTTAGGAGAAATGATGGACCAGTGCCTGACCAGAGACCTATGGGAATTATAATTACTACATTTAAAAGTAATTTCTCCCAGTATATGCCAAGTTTAAAACTTAGCTAGGAATACTATGTTCATTATCACATTTAATCTTTAAACCACCCAAATGCCTGGGCAGATGAGAAAACTGACATGGGGAGATGTAATTAGAGGTTGAGCTGAGGTTTGCTATAGAACCCTTGCCCTGTACATCTCCCTCAGGTAATGTCCAGTATCACAGACTGGCTCCTTCAAAGGCTGTCTCCTCTTCTGTGCTTGCCCAGGTACCTGGCCATAGTCCACCCGCTGAGACCGCGAATGAAGTGTCAAACAGCTGCCGGCCTGATCTTCCTGGTGTGGTCTGTGTCCATCCTCATCGCCATCCCGGCCGCCTACTTTACCACGGAGACTGTGCTGGTCATCGTGGAGAGTCAGGAGAAGATCTTCTGTGGCCAGATCTGGCCAGTGGACCAGCAGGTCTACTATAGATCGTACTTCCTCTTGGTCTTCGGCCTCGAGTTCGTGGGTCCTGTGGTTGCCATGACCCTGTGCTATGCCAGGGTGTCACGGGAGCTCTGGTTCAAGGCAGTGCCGGGCTTCCAGACTGAGCAGATCCGCCGGAGGCTGCGCTGCCGCCGCAGGACCGTGCTGGGGCTGGTGTGTGTTCTTTCTGCCTATGTCCTATGCTGGGCGCCCTTCTATGGCTTCACTATCGTGCGTGACTTCTTCCCCTCCGTGTTTGTGAAGGAGAAGCACTACCTCACCGCCTTCTATGTGGTGGAGTGCATTGCCATGAGCAACAGCATGATCAACACGCTGTGTTTCGTGTCGGTCAGGAACAACACCAGTAAGTACCTCAAGAGGATCCTGCGGCTCCAGTGGAGGGCCTCTCCCAGTGGGAGCAAAGCCAGTGCCGACCTGGACCTCAGGACCACGGGGATGCCTGCCACAGAGGAAGTGGACTGCATCGGACTGAAATAAGCCAGATGGTACCACAGCACCTGGAGGCTCCTCACCCAGAGGATGAACTTGTTTTTCTGCAGAAGGTAAAGGAAAGAGACAACCACTTAGACACACTCTTCAAGGAACACCGAAGTGTAGAATTTCTGAAAGGGATGTCTGAGACACTGTTACCAGGGGTCAGCGTTTATTGAATACCTAAGTTTTACAAAGAGTAGACACCAGTGAAAATCATTTATTTGATAAAAATGAAGTGGGGATTATAGCAAGAAAGAGAGTTTCCAAATAGAAGGTAGAGCAGGCCATGCAGGACTCACCCGAGCCACACATGGGCCTAGCTCACCCCCGGCAGTACTCTTGGGCTTTCTTTCATTTCCAGCATTAGCAAGCCTGGAGCAAGAGTACAGAAGAGATTCCCAGCTCTGCCTGTAGTCCTTCTCTACTTACCCCAGAATCCAGTTCCCACTGGGAGGGGACTCAGATGCACATGTGGATACTCCAGGACCCATGGCCAAGTTCTGACAGCCACTCCCTATGGCCACCTCTTAGGCCCAGAGTTCTGCATTAGACAGTGGGTGGGGGGCTTCTCTGCAGAATGGAGTTTGGGGAGAAGCCACATAGACTCTGGGTACCATTTGGATAGAGAATTTGGAGTTCTGAATCCTATAGGAAGGGGAAGTCTGGGCTCATGAGAACACGGTTCCCTCATGTCATAGTCTCCTCACTGCAGGGGGGAAGGAGGTGAAGAGGAGAGTCAGCTGGGACCCCTAAAAGTGTATGCAGGTTAAAAGATGGTTCTGGTCCATCTCTCAGCTTCTGTGGCCTGGACCACTTATGCTTTCCCTGGAGTTCTCATGCCTCTAGGTTTACAGAGCATAGAGCCCTTGAAGGTAAGCATAGCACCTCACTTTCCTGTTCCTGTCAGCTCTCAAACACAGGGTGTTATAGCCCAACCAGCCTATTTGATGAGGGGTTGCCTCACAGGTATGATTGGGAGAGAGATTTCTTAGCCACTGGTGCCTGAATCTTGGCCTGGTAGTGATTCTGGGGATTAAGACTTGCTGCTCTTCTGAAATGAAAGAGATCTGGGGGAAATCTCCATATCTCTGTTCTTTGGTGTGAATGGAGACTTGCATGTCAGCAGCACAGCCTGGACACCCAGAAAAAGATATTGGCTCAACAGGGAGCTCTTGTGACCCCACAGACTTAAGAAAGTTTTACTCATTTGGTAACTTGCCTCCTTAGTTTGGCATTTAGACTTCTGTCCTGAGAAGATCTGAGGTCCAGCTTTGACTATGTTGTCGACACAGACCTGAGATGAGCCTTATGAAGACAAAGGAAATATTTAAGAAACATTCTAGAATTGTCATGAGAGCAATTGAATAATATGTAGAAGATAAGCTTCTAACCATTTGAATAGAAAATAACAACTGCCACCGCCACTGCCACCACTACCGCCACAGCCAACACCGCAGCAGCCACCACCACAACAGTGAACTTGGCAGCTGTGGGTGCCTGGACAAAGGAAAACTTGTATATATACCTTGCTTATAGATCCATCGGCTTCACCAATGTCTCCCCTCAATGTTCTTCATGTGCATTATTTTCTTATGCTTCTAGATAGTGTATTGTACTATCATAGCACATTCATACAAACAAGACCATGAGCTTTCAAGGCAGATACATAAAGGAAGTGGTACACGGTCTCCAGTCAGGAGATAAGTACATGGTTTTGTACACTCCAGATCAGAGCATCCTTCTTATCAAGTAGACTGCCTTCCCACACATGCTCCCAGAATCAGATCATCCCCATAGACCATCCTCCCACACATGTTCCCAGTCAGCATGAACAATGTCTCTCGGTCTGCTTTGTTCTCATGAGCATCCAGAGCCGTAGAGTGGCCACTTCTCTTTCCTCAATTTTCATTATAGGGCAAGGCGTCAATAAGACTGGGTGATACCCATGTGTAGTTTCTCTCCAAATACAGACAAGTCTGTTTTTGACCACAAAGTTTTTTTTTCAATTGTCTATTTTTCCCAGAAAACACATTTCAATACCCAACAGATTTAACCTTACAACAGAATTCTCCCAGAGGATAAAAATTCATTAAAGTACAAACCTAAACCAAACACAGAGGGCAGGGGGAACCTACTTTTTATTTGAAACTTTATTATAAAAAATACAAAAAAAGAAAGAAAGAAAACTATATAACAAAATTAATCGGACCAAAAAGCTCTTATTTTTTTTAAAAGAATAAAACCACATATTACATTATACAATGACTAAGTTAATTTGGGGATTTAGAAATGCTTAGATGGCATGATTTACTGGGATTATGTTCATTGTAACTACTACTAAGGGTAAACAAAATTTGACTCTGTTAAATAGTTGTTTTTAATTCATAACATGTGAAGTCTTCTGCCTTTCAGCCTAAAATGTATGACAATTTCACTTCTAACTGTCTGCAATACTTCTAGATATTACTGTTTGCTTGTGATTTTATGGTGAATGGTTGTTATCAAATGGAATACCAATAGATGCACACATATGATCACTCACTGTTCTGTGCCTGTCATTTCTCCCCAACCTCCCATCCTTTTCCAAGCTCTAGTATGATGGTCTTTGAGATAACATTGAGTAGCTTCTATGATCACAGGAACTGTGAGAGCAGTGCTGTCTCATGCTGCTCTTGCCAAGAGCTTCCCATCTCCATCAAGAGTTATGGCTGATTGATGTGCCTTCTTTGAGTCTGGGCTGATGGTGCCAAGAATGGTTTTCAGCATCTTGGGCCCATTTGATGTCTATGGGCCCATTTATGCCAGCCCTAGGAGTAAGCCCATGAGCAGGCCCAGTGTCTACATGTGCAGGGAAAATGAGGGACAGACTGAAGACTTGGTGCTGCATACAGATTCCCAGGGCTAACAGCTCAGACAGTGGGATTCTCAAAAACAAAACCAACCAACCAACCAAACAAAAAAATCAACTAGTGGTAAGCCCCCAAAGATGACACTCGTGACAGATATTTCTCTTATGTTCTCTAAATATTTTCAGTGTTCAAAGAGATATGCAGATGTCCTATGCAGAAAGGTATAGATGTGAATTTGCAAAATCATACCATTTCCATAACTAAGAGAAAAAAAAACACATGAATTCTTAAATCAAAGTCATTAAAACAGGTGATGTGGTGGGTACCACAGTGTACCCTGAAGCGTGAAACAAGGTCTATGTTCTCTGTGGACAAAGATGCTGTTGCACTCATGAGATGAGCCAATTTTAAATCTAACTTCTGTTCTTGAAAAACATGACTTTTTTTTTTTTTTGTTTTCGAGTCAGGGTTTCTCTGTGTAGCTTTGGAGCCTATCCTGGCACTCGCTCTGGAGACCAGGTTGGCCTCGAACTCACAGAGATCCACCTGCCTCTGCCTCCTGAGTGCTGGGATTAAAGGTGTGTGCCACCAACACCCGGCTAAAGCATGACCTTTTGTAGCCTGGTTGCAGAGAACAGTCCGGGTCTCCTTCCTAGAGTGTGAGAGTATCAGGTTCAAAAGTTGGATTCTACAGTTGTAGAAACTGATGTGCAGCAGGCAGATGAGATGGGGAAGCAGGGGGTGGGGTGGGGGAAGATGGGGCGCGAAGGATGGACACGATGGAGTTCAATGTCGTACAGTTGGACACTGTGAGAGCCTCAAGTTCCTGAAGCTGAGCCCAGCATTTTTCTATCACACAATTCCTTGGTTCAGGGTGTATAACATCTTAGAGAGGTGGGATTCTGTCCAAAAATCCTTGAGATGTCTATTCAACCTGCCTGGCTTTCTCTGGAGACCCTTAAGGAGTTTAACAGAGACATTCCTGGCTCCTCTGCAAGCCAAGTTTTAGCTCATTCAACTTCCTGGACCTCACAGCCAGCCACAGCGGCTCCAAGGCTCAGGGAGAATAGCTCAGAGCTGTTCCTGATGGCTCTATTTACCTAGCCTACCCTGAGGCCTCTAGGAATGCAACAGAACAGAACTTGGCTTCCCTTCCTTAAGATGCAGAATGAGCAGGATGCTATGCTTGCCTGAATGTCCGTACTGTCAGGATGCCAAAGTTTAGAAACTTCACAGAGCCAGCTCATGTCCTTCCCTGGGAGGCCAGGATGGATAACGTTTGTGAATGAGGCAGAATTTGAACTTGAAGATTAAAGCACAGAGAAACAAAGGAGAACACTGTGCCACAGGCCTAGGAACATTTTCTGCTCCCTGTGAGCAAAGGTTTTCCTCACAGCTTTGAAACTGTGGTCCCTTCAAGAAAGAAAATAGAACCTGAAAAACTTGTAAATATAGTTAAGGGCTATCACAGTCTCCTGCTTTCCCCCGATGGTGCTTTCAAAGGCTCGAGTGAGAGCCACTTCAGAATATGTTCAGGAGATGCCGTTGTTTCTGGAGTTTGTGTGACAGTCAATTTAAATTATGAATTGATTGTATTAATAAACACTGAGAAGACACACTGTGGTTTTTCTGTGACAGCTTCCTAGAGAGGATTAATTAAATAAAGAAGACTGTCTGGAATGTGGTTGCATCTTGGGGGCCTGGACTCAATGAGAAGGGGAAGCAGAGAGCCAGGTAAGCGCCAGCGCCCACCTCTTCCTGTCTTTCTGCCCACTGAGACTCAGTTTCATTTTCTAACTGCCACACACCTCTAGCTGCCCTACCTTCTTGACTACAGTGGGTTTCTACTCCCAGACTGTGAGGCAGAATAAAACCTTTCATTCTGAAACTGTGTTTGCTGTGTATTTAGTCACAGCACAAGCCAGGGGATGGACAGAGCCTAAAAACAGCTTATATTTTCATCATCTATCACATCTGTGTCCACTTCTATCTTATCGTTGTTTATCTAGTTACATTTGATGATTTGTCTTCTTTTCCATTCTCCCTAATAGAAATGTCAGTGCTCATGTGTTCATTATCTTGGAAGGTGTCTTAATTAGTGTTCTATTGCTGTGAAGAGACACCCCAGCCAAGGCAACTCTTAAAAAAGAAAGC